ATTTTCGACCATTTGTGGTATTCCCACATTTTCGACAATTAGAACATTCGACCATTTGTATTGTTCCCGATGGGAAGAGAGTCGAATGTTCCAAGTGTCGAAAAGTTCGTATGAGATCGGACACGGGCGCGCGTGTGGTTTCGAACAGCGGACTCGCCAACAGCTGAGGTGTGACGTACAGACAAAATTATACGTGATAGAGTAATATACAAATTAACAGAATGTTTAGGTTAGAACCAGCGATTTTTATATGGGATATCAAATTTAATACTTATTTTAAATGATTTATCTAAATTAGTTAACATTTTGTTACTTTTTTAAACGGGACTTCAGTTAACTGTAGGTAGTAAACTCATTGAGTTGGTAGGTTGAAATGCAGACCAGGAACATAACCTCTCATAATATTTTATAGTAGCTCACATTTTGCATATTTAGTGCAATAATGTGGTATTTTTCAACATTATTTAACCCTTTGTATTGCAAAAAGATACGTCAGATGTACAAAAACAAATATTAAGCATCAGGAAAGGTTGAAAAAAGGTTGAGGACCATATGCAAGACAGGAATTTTAAGAGTTGCAAACATATCTAATATTTTTAGAATTGTTTGTACATTACACTGTGCGGCTGAAATTATATATTATATATGTTAATGTAATTTTAGAAATGCCGAAGGTGCCTTACACAGTATAAACCTCTATGCAAAGGTGCAGGCAATCGAATATACATGTAAAACTGAAAGACTTGACTAGAGTTCTGGGAGCAAGCGAGTGACCTAGATATTAGTTTGGTTATACAGTGTGGCACAAAAGCTTGGCATCAGCCATTTTTCTCGGAAGCCCCTGTATGAAAGAAATCAAATTTGAGAAAGAGGGATAAAATATGATTTTACATTCATTGGTGATATGAGCCAAATCGTCGGACCTACCCTTCATCAAATATGGGCATAAATTTTGAGTTTTTCAGGGATTAGCATGTATTTCTTTTTTTTTTCGGTAGGTGTTACCTACCTTTGTTTAAGTCCTAAATAAATATATTTGGCATTAATGAAAAAAATTCTCTGGTAACTCCTAGGAAGGTGCATCAAGGTAGAGGTTACCTTTGTCATAAAAATACAAAATGTTATTCATAAAGGCTTTTACTTGGACAAGGCACACTGGATTGTACGTCAAATAAAAGGAAATGTGGATAACAGAAAATTATGGAGGAAATACTATCTGTTAGGAATAATATTTGAACAGTTGTACACCAGAAAAGAGAACAATCAGTACAAATATTTTATGCTACACCCGTGCAACAAAAGATTAAGATTAAAGTATTTTTGTATCAATATAAGTACATTTTTATGTGATTTTCATGTGACTATAAGAAATGTCTTACCTTATTTGTAAAATAGCTTGGGGCCCATAAATGTTTGTTACCCCAAGCTTCACTCACAACTGGCAAGTTGCACAGTCAGCTCATAATCGGTTTCATTACCATCCTCCGGTGCAAACCCTACATAGTTTGCCAAAAAATGAGTTTGCAACTTGTTAGTTCTATAACGAAGCTTAAGAAATGTTAAATGAGTGATACGCCCAAAAAACTTGAAATTTTGCCTTTAATCTATTTTATACATGCTTTTTACGAATCTCCTGAATTCCTCTTGTGTCGGTTGTTTATAAATCAAACTTGCTGAAATTTCACCAATCAGTTTGAGTTAAACGCTGAAGAAGCCAACAGGATGATTGACCAGAAGATTTGTAAATAGTATTACAGTAGCCTGTGGAAGTTTCTTTGAAAAATTCTCTACAGAGTGGTCCATAGGGTAAGTAAGTAAGTTTTACATTCAAGATGGAGAAAAAGTCAAAAATACTTTAGTCAGTTGCTTGTTTGAAAGATGAAGTTGTCAACGTTGTCAAATAAATTATTAATAATAATAAATATAAAATTTAAATAAATTTGATTTGGTAGACGTTAACTTTTACCTTGCGGTGGCTGTAATAAATAGGGGGCGTTAACGACGAAAAAATATTCAAAAGGATACTCACGGTTCTTTTGAATGCAGGTTGCAATGCCGTTCAATACAATTAACATATATTTTTTTGGAAACGCAACATTTTGCTAATTCATATTCGGATATACCTATCTATTATCCACTGTCAAATTACAAAGTCTCCTTATTTCGATATAAAAATCACGTCATTCAAACGAGACATCTATTTGTCAATTTCTATTTGACATTCGATCGTTTGCTCCATCCAGATCTCGCGCGAAACGAGATTCGCTGAGATTCGCGAAACGAGACCGAACGCCGTTCGGAATTTTCGATACTTTGAACTTTTACTTTCACTTTGTGGTATTCCCTGTTGAACATTCGACACTTTGCTACCATCTGTAGAGAAATACTTACGGAGTAACCTCGATTTGTAACCACGGCTTCCCTTCGCGTCCGCATCTCTTTCGCTTAGGAATATAACGCAAGTTACAGAGTTTCAGTTCAGTGGATCAGATCTTCTTGAGGCGCCTCTGGTACAGCCCTGACCCCACTTGGTTACAAGCTCAAACCTCCGGCGATACGTAATAAGCTTTCACTTGGGTGAGTAACATCGGAAAATTACGAATTTACGCAACATATTTATCTAATTTATGATAACATAATACTATAATCACCAATTACATTCATTTTTTCTCCGCTAAAATAGAAAATCTCCATTAAAGTCGGTTAAAAAGCGAACTCGAGGCTAATATCGCGAAACCTGAATTGGGAAGTTTATATTGAAGTTAAATTTCCTCAAAAAAGTCGCAAAAATTCTACGATAACCGGCCCAAACACGGCTGCCATTTAAAATCCGGAAATTGGGGATTTGCCGGATATATATGAACGGCTAGATTTGTATACTTTTCCCTTTTAAAAGAAGTGACTCGGCGTTTTACTGCATTTAAACTGCTTCCTCAAACCGTAAAACTCTATCTTCCTATATAAGATCTTTTTACCCTTTTATGTATATACCGATCGGGTAGGTATACGAAGCATTCCATAACGGCCGTTTTTCAATATTGAAGACTCATTTTTGGCAAATTGAGTACTCGGCATGAATTGAAACTTTATAATAAATTGTCTCCATTTTAAATTATATTAGCGCCAACTTTTTTTCCACGAAATCATAATTTAAAAACGCATTTTTTTTATAATATGCATATTTTCATAGGACTAGTTACACCGCCCCAGACATAGGAGTGGGGCGGAAAAAAGGAGGGCGAAGAAGAAGAGACTCGCGGTGACGGTTTCGGAACCGCAGACGGGCTCTCTTCCGGCGCCCAGGAATCCTGCCACGCCGTCAACGGAGGGCTCCATAGGGGGCACACCGGAAATGGCAGGCGGGAAGCGGAAAAGAAAAATGGGAGAGACCACCCAGGTTGGGGCACCTGCCGGGGGTCGGCGGCCGACACGCGGCCCGGCGAAAAGCGGGCCGTCCCGGGGGGGCTCTGAGAGGTGGGAGTAGGTCCTATGCACAAGCGGCGGCGGGGGGGCCTGAACTGGTGGTGGGCCTCAGAGGACAGGAAACAGACCTGTCTTCCGAGGACCTGCTGCGGTTCATAGGGTCTCTTAACCTCCGCATAAGCATGTATATCATGCAGGGGGGGGCAATACACCCCTCCCCGGATACGCTCGGTTAGGCTGTGGAGGAGCCACATCCTGATCGAGATGATGGATGAAGAAACCAGGGAGTGGGTTCGCAGGGAGCTGATTAACGTCAGGCCCTGGGGGCTCGCAAACCTGGTGGAGGTCGATCCGGAAGGATTGAGACTGAGAAGGGCGGCGATATGGATTCCGGGCCTGGGGGCGGGTGTCTCGAATGAGGCACTAGTCCGCTGCCTGGCAGCTCAGAATGGCCTAGATTGCCGTGCCTGGAGGGTCTGGCAGAGGACGGAGGATGCAAGGGGCACAAGGTTGGTGGTGGGCGTGGACGAGAAATCGGCAAGCGCCATCACGGCTAAGGGCTCACTTCTCTTCTGCCTGGCGACACAGGTAAAAGTGAACCTGGCGGCGCCGAGGCCGCAGGGGGATGAGGTGACCGCGGGGGGCTCACACGAGGAGGGCTCGTCCATGGAGGTTGGCGGGCCTGTCGGAGAGGCGGCGCCCACGGCTTCTGTGGAGGAGACCTCCGGAGGGCCCTCCGAGGAAGCGAGAACCGAGGAGGTATCTCGGATGGAAGTTGACCGGGGAAACCCATCAGGGTCCACCAGTCAGGAAGCGGAAGCGAAGGGAGGTGCTACCTCGGGCTCGGATTCGGGCTGAGGCTAGCATCGTGACCCGCAGGTGGTATTCCCGCAATAATATCTTCACGGGGATATTACAGATTAACCTGCAACACAGCAGGGCTGCAACGGCCCACTTATGCAGGAAAATTTCGGAGGGCGGTACATCTATTGTACTGATCCAAGAGCCCTGGATTGTAAAATCAAGGGTTAGGGGCTTATCTCTGGGAGGATCGATGCTGCATAGTGTCGACTCCTTAGAGGGTGGTCCCAGGGCCTGTATTTCAACCATGGGGCTGAAGGCCTTTAGGCCTTTTGCCTAAGGGACAAGGCGTCCAGGGACCTAGTTCCAATTCTGGTCAGATCCCCCACTCGGGACGGCGTGAGGGAGGTAGTGGTCGCCTCTGCGTACTTTCCAGGCGACCGCAGCTGTCCTCCGCAGGAGATCAGTGACTTGGTCTCCTACTGCGAGGAGGCGAATCTTCCTCTTTTGATTGGCTGTGACAGCAATGCTCACCACGTTTTGTGAGGCAGCGCGACAACGAATAGAAGGGGGGGAGACCTCGTGGAGTTCATGGCCTCTGCAGGGCTGCAGGTGGCCAACAGAGGGGTAGAACCCACGTTTTTCACGACGGGTCGGAGCTCGGTCATAGATTTAAACACTTTGTACCAGGGCTCTGCTCCCGGAAATAACTGGGTGGTGTGTCTGTGGGGAGGACTCTATGTCGGACCATAGATACATCACCTTTGGGTTGGAGATGGGTGTTCGGGAACCCGTTAGATTTAGGAACCCCCGGGCAACAAACTGGGAACTCTATAGAGAGGAACTCGCTTAGCGCCTAGGGGGTTTACCAAGGAAACACCGCACAATGGAGGAGATTGACGAGGCCGCCGACCGAGTCAGCTCCGCTATGATGCGGGCGTTCGAGAATAGTTGCCCTGAGACAGAGGAGCATAGGGCGGGAAGGACTCCTTGGTGGAGCTCTTCCCTGGAGCGTCTCAGGAGGAAAGTGCGGAGGCTGTTCAATACAGCGAGGAGCAGCAGCCAAGATGCGGACTGGGATCTCTATAGGGAGGTCCGCAGACAGTACAAAAAAGAACTACGGGCATCACAGAGGAGGGCCTGGAGGGGCTACTGCGACGGAGTAATGAATACCCCGGACGCGGCTAGGCTCCTTAGGGTACTCAGAAGTGACCCTGCGGGAAGACTGGGGGTGGTCCGCAGGACCGGCGGTGGCTACACAGCGGGACCAGCGGACACACTACAACAGTTGCTGAACACGCACTTCCCAGGGTCCGCTGATCCGGACACAAGGGGGAATATTTAAGCCGGGGGTCGTCTTGGATGCGACTACGCCACGGCAAGAAGGGTGGTTACCCATAGTAGGCTGAGGTGGGCTATTGACAGCTTTGGCCCCTTTAAGTCGGCGGGCGGGGATGGAGTATTTCCGGCTCTGCTGCAAAGGGACGGAGGTCTCCTGACCAGCCCGCTGATGGACCTATTCAGGGCCTCCATTGCGAGGGGGTACGTGCCCGAGCTGTGGAGACACAGCAGGGTAGTATTCATTCTCAAGGTAGGGAAGAGTGACTACACGGACCCGAAGTCGTACCGGCCTGTTTGCCTCACCAGCTTCATTATGAAGACTCTGGAGAGACTGGTGGTATCTGAGGGACTGGGTGGAGCTGGAGGCCCCTTTAGAGTCAGCTCAGCATGCGTACCGAAGTGGCGGGTCTGTGGGCTCAGCTCTTCACCATCTGACTTCCAGGTTGGAGGAGGGTATGGGCTCGGGAGGGCTGTCGGTGTGCGTGTTCGCTGACATCGAAGGGGCTTTCAATAACACTGCCCTGTACTCGATCTGCAGGACGGTGGAGAGTACTGGAGTGGGGACGGCCATTGTACGGTGGATCCGCTCCATGCTAACCGACAGGAGGGTCGAGGCAAGACTGGGAGGGGAGCAGGTCTCCATCGGTTCATCATGGGGTTGTCCACAGGGCGGGGTCTTGTCCCCGTTCCTGTGGTGCCTAGTGGTGAACGAGATATTGCATATTCTGAGGGAAGAACACGGGGTCTATGCTCAGGCATATGCAGACGACCTTGTGATAATGACGCAGGGGACGGACGTGAGGAGGATGCAGGGGTTCCTGAACGGGGCATTGGCAAGATTCTCACAATGGTGCCTGGACAGCAAGTTGGCTGTCAATCCTGGCAAGGTGGAGATGGTCATCTTCACTAGGAAACGGAAGATGGAGTGCAACCTCAACATTTCGATGGATGGGGTGCCTCTTTCTGCAAGCGAAAGTGTCAAGTACTTGGGCGTATGGTTGGACTCTAAGTTGACCTTCCAGGAACATATAAGATCAAGGACCAAGTCGGCCTTTGGAGCTCTGTGGGCGTGCCGGAGAGCGGTAGGGGGCACTTGGGGCCTGGGGCCGAAGATCATGCAGTGGATCTACGGTACCATGGTGGTGCCTATGCTCACGCGTGGGGCAGTGGCATGGTGGCCGGGGACCAAAAGAGCGGGAGCAAAGCTAGTTCTTGACAGACTGCAGAGATTGGCTTGCCTCTGCATAACGGGCGCCATGAGAACGGCGCCGACGAGGGCCCTGAAGGCTCTGGTGGGGCTGCCCTCTCTGGCGGATCGGGTGCAGATGGAGGCGGCCAGGACAGCTGTGAGGCTGGCGAGCTGCGGGCTCTGGAGGGAGGGAACCTTCAATCGGGGTCCGTACGACATTTTAGAGGGCTGTCGCGGGGATCGCGGGGTCATGGGCATGCCGAGTGACGTCATGATCCCCGAGATGACCTTCTTTGATAAATTGACCTTTCTCTTTCCATCAAGGGAAGATTGGAGAGAGGGCAGAGTCGGCTCCTGGGATGGACTTATCTGGTACACGGACGGGTCCAGAATGGGAGATCTGGCCGGAGCTGGAGCGTACTGCGAAACAACGGGATCAAGCTTGTCGGTCCCTCTGGGTCAGTACTGCACTGTGTTTCAGGCGGAAATTTTCGCTTTATTGATGGCGGCCAGAGAGGTGCTTCGGCTCAACTACGGAAGCAGGAGAGTCTTCTTCTGCTCGGATAGTAGGGCTGCACTCATGGCGCTGAAGTCAGTGCGTACGCGCTCCTTGTTGATAAAGGAGTGCAAAGCGGTACTGAGGAGGGTGGCTGAGGAGAGAAAGGTCACGTTGGTCTGGGTCCCGGGTCACACCGGTGTCCGGCCAATGAGGCAGCGGACGCCTTAGCCAGGGAGGGCTCCTCGCATAGGCATATAGGGCCAGAGCCCCGCTTGGGGATCGCCCCGTGTGTGAGGCGGGGAACTCACGAAGCCTGGGCGAGAGACCGGGCCGCGAGGGGCTGGAGAGTTGCTCCGGGAAAGAGGCAGGCGAGGCTTATGATGGATGGGCCCGCCCTTCCTCGGACCAGGGAGCTGCTTAGACTGACCAGAAGGGAGTGTAGAGCACTAACAGGGGCCTACACAGGACATTGCAGGCTTAGGAGGCATCTCTGCTTGCTAGGCATTGGAGACGACCCGGAGTGTAGGTGGTGCATGGAAGGGGAGGAGACCCCGTATCATCTGCTCACCGAGTGCCCTGCCTTGACATGGGCAAGATTGGGAGGCTTCGGAACGGCCCTGATCGATCCGGACTCAGTGCACGGTATTGGGCTAAAGGAGTTGCTGACCTTCTACAGGAGGGGCGGCATTCTGGACGCCCTCTAGAGCGGCCTGGGGGCACAACGGGCCCATCTGGTGGCCTAAGTGCTTGGACGCCCGCGAGGGTGCCCCCCTTTAATACCAATACCAATACCAATATCGAAATAAATAAAAGGGTTGCTTGCGAATATGTAATGTCTAGGGGTGACATCTGGCGACCAAAACCTGAACTATTTATGCACGAACTAACCGAACTAAATTGTGCGCGACATCTCTCCGACACTAGCCGAAATAAATAAAAGGGTTGCTTGCGAATCTGTAATGCCTAGGGGTGACATCTCTTCATGCGCGACATCTCTCGGACACTAGCCGAACTAAATTATGTGCGACATCTCCCGGACACTATCCGAACTAAATTAAAAGGCTACTTGGGTAAATTTGCTATCTCAAGATCTCCCCCGGGGGACGGGAGGCATAGTAGTTAGGCTTTCCTTCTATTCAAAACTATTTGAAATTTAATCTAATCTTTATTTCTAAAAGTGATTTGATAATTTGATAATTTTTATGCACGATTTAGAAAACATTATACACAAACATATATTGAGCAAAAACTTTCTTTGGTGGTATAGATATGTAGATGACGTTTTTGCTTGTTTCATTGGAACTGATTCCATTTACTACAAACCCTCCCACAGAGACACAGTCACACATAATAGTTCAAATCACCATTGTACACAACTTTTGTACACTGCTTTTTCATTCATTTACTCACAGACTTCTAACACTACACTTTGAACAAGAAATTTTAAAAACGAATTAAAAATTATAAAATAAATAGCACGTACACGATGGTCACAACCAGTATAGGCAAAATCATAAAAAAATACATATAAGGGCGGTCTAAAGATTTAAAAAACAACAAATCGAAGATCGAAAAAGCTCGAAAATCAGAAGTCTATTTGCTAAAGTGCGGAATCGTGTACGAAAATTTTCATTGGATAAACAGGTAGATCCTTTCAAAAATATGAGTTTAGTATCTAATTACGCTACTCATTTGAACTTAGAAAAACCCAATTTTCAAAACAATTTTGAAATATTACATACGGCGACAAAAGGTCGAAATATCAACTTATTAGAAGCTATAGATAGTAACAAACTGAGGCATTGAAATGTATTGCTTAATGACAAAATAGATTTAAATAATTCACCTTAGTTCTTCCGTTTCCCTATCCATTACGGACATTGGCTACTGACAAGGCTATTTTGACTTTAGTACGCCCCTGAATAGTTCGATTTTTGATCGATGTTAGCCTAAACCCCTCACATAAGTAACGTATCTTGTCGTCTCTTTCCTGATCCTAACCTGCTATCGACTTTTCCCTGTATTCAAGCTTCCGTTTTTTACTGTGCAAAAACCACTTCTTTATTTTTTCCAATTCTCTACATCAGTGAAAATGAAACTCGGATCTTTTCTTCAAATTTACTATATTACTATATTATATTCTATTGTGGGTCATCTTGGTAAGAGAATTGGTAATATAATTTATCGGGCTTAGCAGGCCGGTGTTGATCACAGTGTTTTGCGTTTCGTGTTTTTGGTATGGCTCAACTCTTGATCGTAGCGATTGCCCTGGAATTATTCTCCTTCCCTCAATAAAGTTAAAAAGGTCTCTTAAAAATAGAGGAAATGGTCGTCTGCGTCGCACAGAATTCTCAGGATTTCACGTTGTACTTTATCTGGACCTTGGTTTTGATTAGTGGTGCCATGGTAATATCTTTTTAAAATACTGAATTAATTTCCTTTTAGTTGTTAATGCCTTGATCTAGTTGTGCATGTTTATGGTAATTATACTTCTTATCACTCAATTTCATCACACTTCTCCTGTAGTCAGCGTTCTATTGCATCTTTTATTTTCGGATTTATTTCTTTGTACTTCGGTTGATTTTTGTCTTTATATCGCCTTCTCTCCTCAATATTTTGCCATCTCCCATTTAGAAACTGTGTTTGTATTGCAGAAATCAAAAATAATTTATTACACAAAAATTACCTACGCCAATGTCGAGCTTCCCATTTTATTACCCTTCGGTTTGTTTATAAAATTGCCATCCCGGAAGGTTTCTTAACGAATAGCATCCTCAAAAAGATGTACACCACTAAACGTGTAATTTGATTCTTGGGTTGTAAATGCCACGTATAAAGCTTTGTAAGGCACACGACGTAGGTACGCAATGCCATAAATTTTTTATACACCGCAACTTAAAAAGTTTCATGAATAAATGAACTATTAACTTTGTATGGTCGTGCATGGTAAATAAAAATAATACATGCGGCGGCACATTTTCGTTCACGTCATCGTAATTGGATTCGGAATGCACACCTAGTTGTAGTGCGACTGTCGCTGTTTTCGCAAAGATTTTGTTTGTATTAACGAAACGTGGAACGTGGAATTGGTTTAAAATATTTTAATAGCGTAAGGTTATGATTAAATATAAATATGTGTTAAAAACGCGTATTACGAGTCGTTTTTAATAAATGATGGCCCCTCTAGCGGTATTAAACAATAACCTTTTACAATGCCGTTATTTCTGAAAAAGGTATTTTACAAAAAATGGATTTAATAACTGGTCAAAAACCATGAAATCGTAAAACTTTAAATTTTTCTAGAAAAATTACGCCCCCTGGTGGCCATTTCACAAACTCTAAATCATTTCCAGCATTTTGTTTTCACCTATTTACATTTCTTCGAATTTATAGATCGTCGTTTCCTTCGTAGACCTTATTGGGACACACGGTATATATTTGCATTTATTGTTTCTTCCAAAAGCTTATCCAGATGTTGCTGAAAAATTCTACGAAAATTATACGCAGAATAATGTAGTTAGTCTAGTTGGTTCATAAGTTTAAATATAAACTCGTAAAGGTTACGAAAAACTGAAAATACGCACCATTTCCACTCAAAAATTGTACCGCAAAGGCGGCAAATATTTTTGACGCGAAAATATTTTACGTTCAAGAGTCATTCGGAATTTCGTTTCCGGATGTGTTGTATGTAAAATATGTTTATGGAATGCGGTAAAGCGAAATTTACGACGTCAATTTTTACATTGAAAAAGCCTC